ATACAGAACTGAAAGTTACTTTATCATTTCACATTGCTTTGCTAGAAAGCTCTGATAATAGACTCTGGAAAAGGTTCCAAAATCAATTTTTTCCTATATCTTTAAACAAGGACAATTTAACTAGGTATGAACAAAATGGTTCTCGTGTACAACCTTTCCTCTGTTTTACCAGATACCACACATTTATTCAGTGCATGTTTCTGGGATGACTGACTTGGTGGCATGTCATCCAGAGCATATAGATCCAGGGAAAGTTACACGTGTTCCCAAGGGGCACAACAGGGACAACATGGACTGCTGACAGAGATAAGAAGCCACACACTAGATCCTGCAGAAGATAGACACTACCATGGTTTTGTTGGAAATATTACTGTTGTCCTGATTTTTTTTAAGAAATTCACTAAAGCAAAGGAAAGAAAATAAAGGAAAACACATTGGTTGATGGACTTAAAGTACGCTGAGCAGAATGTGAATGTGGGACATACTTGCCAGCAAAACTAGATCTCATCTCTGTCAGCCTCTTGTCCCTCAAAACAAAACTTATCACAAAGAATCACTGAATATTTTAATGGCATATTTATGGAAATCGTAGAGAAACTAAATTGCGATATAATCATGGAGAAACATTATGAAATAATTGGAGGCGGTAGGATATGCCTGTGGTTTTCATTGTAATGCCTCTTATGACTTTGTAATAAACAACCTTTTAATCACTGAGAATTTTTAAATTATTGTTATTATTATTGTTGTTGTTACTGTTAATAATAATAATAATAATAATAATAATAATAACTAACAATTTCCATTCATTTCAGTGCTAAACTCATGGCAAAGTAAGCAAATTGCTCTGCACTTTGAAAAAAATATTCTCCCATATTGTGTCTTTTATTTTGGTCTCCTATTTCTCCTCAGGGAATGAAATGAGGGGTTGAGGGATTGCCTGGAATGTAAAGTATTTTCACTCTTCCTTTTACCCTTTATTAATTCTTTAAAATGCAAAGTATTGTCATCTTTGGAAAAGCTAAAAAGCAGAAATAGCATATTAGCCATAGTAATTTTGCACTCTTTAACATCCTTGCTTGATGAGGCTTTGTAGTATTACAAGCTGGCAAGCAAAAAAAAGAGTATTTCATCTTTCTTGAGGGTTAAAATCTGGAAAAAAAGAGGAATGAAGTTTTACATCAAAAATGTATAAAATAATGAAATCTATTAAAGAATGCTTATTTCATGCTCAGTAGTAGAAACAGTAGCCAAATTTCAGAATTTGCTGCAAAGATGTACGTTTGGTTTGGTTTGTTTTTCCATATTTGGAAGAAGGGGATCATTCCTAGAACTATTTTATTAGTCTCTGGTAGCCAGGACCACCAGTTCTGGGAGCTGCTGGAGTAGCTCTGGAGCATGGGAAGCAGTCCAGAGCTGGCTCACCATGCACAGGGACTAACAGCATCCATAAGTGCTTTCTTGGATCACTGCCTGTAAGTACACTAATTGTTTCTAAATAGATCCAAGAAATTAACCGTTGCTAGTTGGAATCACTTTCTAGGTGAGAGAACATGTTTCTTTTTCATCATCTACATATTTGTATGCTTTGGAGACTTGAAAACAGAAAAGAACAAATTTGGATGAGGAGTTTAGTGCAGGGCCATCTCCATAGAGTTAATCATACAATAGAATCATGGAATATAATGGTTTGGATTGGAAAGGAAAAACCATAAAGATCCAGTAGTTTTAGTTCCCCTGCCATGGGCAGGGACATTTTCCACTAGACCAAAGCCCCATACAGGCTGGCTTGAACACTTTCAAGGATGGAGCATTCACAGCTAATCTGGGCAACTTGTTCCCATGACTTACCACCTTCAATTTCTTCCTCTAAACCTCACCTCTTTCTATTTAAAGCCATTCCCCTTTGTCCTATCACTATGCGCCCTTTTAAAAACTTCAGCATAGATTCATAAAGAGGTTGAAATATTCCAAACACTGTCATCCCCATTAAATTCATCTGTGCCACCGTTCCATGTCACAACCTTGGGTCAGGAAAGGTTCTTTACTGAAGATAGCACTCATGGATGAATAATAAGGGCAAGAACATTTGCTAGAGTTCCAGCAAGAGCAATATGCAAGAACTCTTGAGTGAACAATGTGTTTAAGGCTACCTAAAGTATAATTGTTGCAGAGATAGATTTAAAATATTTTTACTTTTTTTGTTTTTGTTGTTGAGTGAGATACTACCTTTTAGCTTGTGTATTTGACCTTAAAACCACTGCTAAGGTTACTGGTGTAAGGGTTACTTATATGCTTCAAGTTTGGCATGCCAAAATACTTTGTGAAATGGATGGAAAGTAACTTTTAGATTTGGTTTTGATTGGGTTTTTTTAATGCTGGCATTTTTTAAGGCTTTATTACAATATAATAAAAAGAGAAAAAATTCTTTTGTCTTAGTTTTTGTGATATTACCTTAAATACAGAACCTTGTGGTACTATAAACTGACTTTGGCCGGTTGAATTTGTATATGGCCAAGTGAGGCAATTGACTTCTCAGGTGAATGTGTTCTGCAGCTGCAGGAAGTATATTAAAATTCTCACAGCAGCTAAATCCCTCACAACTCCATTGACAATTGCCACCAGCTTCTAGGAAGAGCTAAGCAGCCTCATTATAAATCATCAGGTGAACGGAATGAGGTTCAGTGTTTCAAGAAAATCAGAATAATAATTTCATAAAATTGAAGCACAAAGCCCAGTGGAGAGTAAGAATTAAGAAGCAAGTTATTAGATTTTTAAGCAATCATATGCAATAAAGCAGCTGAAATATTGTTTTATGATAAATAATATTGCCAATGCAAATCTGATTCATTCTAATGGCTACTGTAATTAACTGCATGGTGTGTAAGGTGCTAATTTTGTGGATGAATAATTGGTTAAAACAAGTGTTATGTATTGCAGTGTAATATGCTTGTTCAATTTTCCACTTAATTTCAATTAATATGGGTTTACATGTACTCCACTGTTGCAGTTTTATGCCTATTATTTTTAATTAGGGAAAAGAAATACCTTGGTAGAACAGAACAAATGAGCAGCACTGTGCGTTTTTCCAAGTTTATTTTTTCATTAACATACTTCAAGTTTGTATTGTTTAGCCTTCCAAAATGTTAATAATCACTGCTCCTGAGGTTGACTGAAAATGGTGGTGCCAGCGTCCACATAAAACAGAGGGGAAAAAGGAATTGTTCAGTTCTCTCATTTACTTTCTGACCTCTACACAGTGTTTTTTAGTTCCAACTATGTGTTTTATTACCCTTCCTGGTGTTTCCAGTACTGCAATAGATTTTAGTGATTAGAACTGTGGGGTGATGTCATTGTTCACCACTGAAAAGGTGTGCTTGTATGCAGTCATAGCTGCTTTATGGCAGAATTGATCACCAGCTGGAGATTCTTACCCTTTTCCAATAAAGGTGTCTACCCATCAGAATGGGTTCCTGTCTTCTGGATGGATCTTGTTAAAGTAGATGAGTGCCACCCTGAGAGCCATATATTAGCCTTCATTTCTTTGAAGAAAAATATTGTCTGTGCTTCAATCTTCTCATGGCATAAAATACTTCTCAGACTGTGCTGCCTCTGCAGCTCAGATGGGCAGGTGTGAGCACCATCCCTGCCCCTCACTAATGCCTCTGTGGCAGGCAGACTCTCATTGAGTGGACAAGTTATTTACATTCCCTTTACTCTGGGCTGCCCACACAAGGCATCCCCTAGCTCCTGGGTCACTGCTTGGTTGATAAAAGCAGAGCAAATGTTCTAATAGAGCTTTTTGTTTGTCCTGCCTCAAGAGATAAATATTTCTAAGTGTCAGATAAATATCCAGCACCATTGATGCAGTTGTTTTATCTCTGACTCTTCTCACTTCCCCAGTATTAAAGATCTTGTGGCCAGAGTGCAGCTGAAAGAAAATCTCCAACCTATCCTTCCTTAGTTCTCCTGGTGCTGTCAACAGAGGAAATCTGTGTTAGTAATAACAGTGTGATATAAAAAATAAAGGTATTGAAGGTGCTGCTGAATTTCTTTTTTTCTGTGCATTTTACAGAAGCATAAATAGAGAATAGAAATGTAAGCATCATGTTTTGAAAGCCAAAAAAAAAACTTTCACCAATTTTGGCTAAACAGAGTCATTGCCTAACCCACACTGTCAAACCCTTCACAGATATTTTAATGTAGTCATCTGTATTGCATTGTTATCCTCACTTGGTAAAGAGAGAAGAGCAAGAGACGTAGAAGAAATATTGGGGGGAACTTTTGGTACAGAAGAGGGATGGTGCCTAGGTCATTATCTTTGCACAGGATTAGCTCCATGTCTCTGAAACAAGTGTTTTCATAGAATTATAGAATGGCTTGGAAGAGACCTTAAAGATAATGTAGTTCCAATTCCTCTGCCATGAGCAAGAGCACTTTCCACCAAATCAGGCTGCTGAGAGCCCCCACCCAACCTGGCCTTGAACTCTTCCACAGATGGGGCATCGGCAACTTCTCTGGGCAACAGAGTTCACTGATTTTCCACAAGCGGAACTTTTTTTATAAGGTTTCTAGGGAATAAACCTCTTATTAGCATTTACACTTCAACTAATATTTCTGAAGGTTTGAAGAAATTTCTGCTGGTGGAGAGAAGTTTCTGGGTTCCCTAATATATTATGTTATAGTGTCCAAGGTGCATGCTTTAAAAATACACATGAAAGAGCAGCACTTTAAAACCAACATATGTGAGGTGAGCTGATGAGCTGCAGAAAGAAATATATCATCTGATTAATACAATATTTAAAGAAAACCTCTACTTTCCTTTCTTCATTTTTATTCTAACATGGTCAGCATGTGTACCAATAAAAACATGTTTTATGAGCTTTTTAAGAGATTCAAAATACCTTTCCCACTGTTAATAATTAAGCCACCAGCAGATGTCTGAAGATCTGGCTGTATCCCAGCCCAATTCACTAAACCCTCTGCTTGTTCCCTGACAGGCCAGATGACTCTGAGGACCCAGCATGTTCAGGACTCCAAGATGGGCTTTGTAATCAATGCAATATACTCCATGGCCTATGGGCTCCACAACATGCAGCTGTCCTTGTGCCCAGGCTACGTGGGCCTCTGTGATGCCATGAAGCCCATAGATGGTCGGAAACTCCTGGAATCCCTCATGAAGACTAACTTTACTGGGGTCTCTGGGGACATGATCTTGTTTGATGAGAATGGTGACTCACCAGGAAGGTAACGCTGACATTTGTCTATTATTTGTCTATTAATATATTATTATTAAACTATTTAATAGCAGAGATGATAACAGCACATAGTAGGTATGTGCAGACTTTGCAACAGAGTTAAGGTCTCATACTCCTAGTTTTACATTTCCTGATTCCTGTGCTTATTTTGCGAAAATAGAGGGTTTTTTTTAATGTGCATTTTTTATGGCATTTCAAGTTAGAGATGTGGGCTTTCAGGTGCAAAAGCTTCCTGCATTAATTTGCATTTTTGTCTGTACCACTTAAAAGTACTATTACTGAAAACAAATTATCAGACCTTCATGTTTTTAGACCATGATGATGACCATACTACTTAGTTTGTAGACTATGATATAGACCATGATGTCCACCACATCCTGTTTCTCTCTTTATGTGGGACTTTAAGTGTATGTGTTTGGTTGATCTATAAACAATCATAGCAGACTTAGTTCTTTCATTAAGAAAGCTAAAACAATATCAGTAATATCGTACTTTCATTAAGAAAGCTAAAACAATATCAGTAATATTGTACTGATGCATCTGGGATTTTTTTAAATCAGAATTGTTAAAAAACCTGCTTACATATATTCCAAATGAAATCTTTCCACTTGCATATCACACTAAGCTATCAATCCATACTGTGCTACTCTAAGACAAATTGAATTTAAACAAAGTTTATTTTGCCAGTAGCATGCATAAATATGTATACATACATCTACAAAATATAAGGCAAGTTTCTCTATGACACTGCATCCACAGAAATGCATAGTGGAAACACTCATGAAGGGGGATTTTTCTGAGTTTCTCCTACTGAATTTTCAGAGGAAGAACAGCAAGTATGATATTATTCAAACTATATTTATTTCCTATATTTTGATGTATTTTCTGCCTTGTTCACTGCTTTTGCTCTGATATTGTTTGAGATAGCCCATTATGTCCACATTATTGGAAGGTTTTAAACATCTTTGTTATGGTTCCATATAAACAGATGATTAGAGGGAAAATTTTTATCCTGTATACTCATTTAAATTTTGTCTCCTCCCGCTAATGTGAACAAAAATGAAATCAATAACATCTTAGTAGAAATGAGGTGGAAAATTTAAAGTCATTGGTCAAAATATTTTGACATTTCCAAAAATTTCTGCGATTTCAAACCTGATTTTTTTCTTCATTCTATTTGCAAACCTGTAAATTCAGCATTCTCCCCAAAAGTGAGCAGGACAGCCACCCACACGGCAGTCTGTGTCTGTTTCTGGAGACACAAATTTTCAAATTCTTCTGAATCAGACTCTAAGGAAGGGCACTGTGAGCTAGTAGGAGAACTCAGGCACAAACTAGCAGAAACCTAGGAAAATTTCAGATGGAAATTTATTTTCAGAGCATTTTTAGCATGAGCAAGGCTGTCTTCTGCTAAATGTTTCTATTTTTACAAATAGCTGAATTTTGAAGAAAGGTGTTAAGTCTGAATTTTTCTGGCCAAATTATTTTTAAAAGACATCTCAGACTTCTTTAAAAGGATTTCTTTTTTGTTTTAAAGGTGCTCAGATGCAGTGGACTTTATCCTACTCCATTCCAATCAGTTTCTTGTATAAAAATGACTGTGATTAGTGAGTGATGTGTGACCTGCCAAAAATAAATATGTGACTTGACAACATCAATAACAATATCTAAATATTGCAAAGAGATCTTTTGCTTTTCTTTTCCTCATGTTGTCATTCTTAAGAAGAATAATTTAGCACCATTTGTTGCAATGAATTTAATTGAATATCTTGGATATTTTTAAATTCTAAGAAAGATGATGAGGAAATTTTATCATGTGAAGTCATTTGCTCATTCACAATTGGACATAAGTATTTCCCTGAAGAGCATGGGGACACTATGTGGAATGTGTACCTCAGGATAGCCCAACTTTAAGAAGGTCCAGCTTCCCTGGATTTGTGTGGTATTTGTGTCTACTCAAACTAATGAACTGTGAGTGGTTACAAAGTGAAACCAGAATTTGTTTTCTTTTGAATCATAGTTATTTGTCAACAATAGTCACATCATTAAAGCCAGTCTATGTGCTTAAGTCGGACAACATTGAGTCAAAATGTACTCTTTCATGATTAAGAAGACTTTATAGGAAGCTCCATTTCTAATTTCCAGGATTTGAGTAGAATATAGTCTTTTAAGCATTGTCAAACACTATTTGCAAGAACTTGGAGATAGTGCAGTCATACTGGAACAACTCATCTGCCCTGGTTCCTTGCACTGATAACTCCATCTTCACTTTGTAAAACAGGAATTTAAATCCTCACAGCTGTACTGTGGTGGTGGTGTTAAGCAGAAAATCAGAACATAAAAAGCCTTTCTGACCTCGATAACTCAGGATTTTAATGTATAGAAAAAAGGTTTTGATATTATATAACAGATGATTAATCCTACAAGATGTTTTGAATCCTGACCCTATTTCAAAGTCCTTTATGTGTATGTTGAGTTTTAAGCAGTCTAGTGTAGGGCCTGTTTTATGTGAGTCAGGAGACATGGAAATAAAGAGTATGGAAGCCATGATTGCTCAGGAAGATAACAATTATCTTTAAATACTATCAAAACTCTAAAGAAGAAATTGAGGATGGAAGAACAGGCACGAAAAAGATGCTGATGTTTTGACTGTGCTACCAGCAGAATGTGTATTCCTAGCAACATTGTGGCACTTCTGTTTTGAAACAAGTATTTTGCACAGTGATTAGAGCACTGCTGGAAATGTGCTATTGTACCATCTGGTCTCTTCTATCCTAAAGTGACAAACTGTCCCTGTATTATCTCAAGGAACCTCCAGGGAACCAGTGACTCATGAGCCTTCACTGTAGCAATGGGCTTACTGAATCTGGCTATTTCTACCCATTCATCAATGCTGCTCTCCACAGAGAAGAGAGACAAGACTTATTAAGGCAATACTGTATTAAATTTGTTAGGTTCCTTTCCAGTATTCCCCTTGTGATGTATGCATGGAACTACTACTGGAGAGGATCATTCGTTTAGGTTCTGTGGCCTGTCAAACACTGGCAGCACTTTTGTTAGTCTGTCCATGAAACCCTAAACTGAAAGCTTTAACAAAGTTATACTCATGGGTGTGTTGAGTGTCTGACATTGTTGAATAATGGTTCTACTGTGGCTTCTGTGCTAACTTTTTGGTTAGTCTCTTTAATCCTTGACAAACTGTTACTATGGCTGTGAACCTCAGAAAAAAGTTAGTTTATAACCATGTGCACAAGTCTGTTTCTTTGGGTTTGTGTTTGTGTTATCTGGATTCAATTATTTTGTGTAAGTCTGGCATTCATATCTCCAACCTTGAGATCATTGTTGAAGCTGTGGACATTTCCTTCTTTATAAAATATGGAAAGTGAAATATTTAAAAATGTAGAAGTATAACAAATTTTTCGTTCTACATGTGCTTACTTCTTCTTCTTTGTAAAGATTCAAAAACAATATAATGTGTGTAATATCACATTGTCCATTCAGTCAGACTTCACTTTCATTTCCTTTTAGAGGCTGCTTGCAGTCCTGATCCTGCCCTGTGTGTGATTTTGGCATTGAATCCCTGCTGTACCATAGTTTCCCCACTGTGACAGAATTTTTTATGATGCAAAGCATCTTGAGATCAATAGATGGACAATAATATAAAGCAGTTTTCCTGGTTTTTTTGGTTTTTTTTTTTTTTTTTTTTTTTTTTTTTTACATCAGCACAGGAAAAATACTGCTGTTAGATATAGTGTGGCTACTGCTTTTCCATCTTAGAAGTGTTTCCTCAAAATTAAAGAGAGATATCAGTGTATCTGTCATGGTTTAATCCCAGCCAGAAACCAAGTACCTTGCAGATGCTTCCTCAGTCCTGCATCAATAGAATCAGGGAGAGAACTGAAAGAGCAGGAGCTAGAGAACTCATGGGTTGAGATAAAGACAGTTTAACAAGAAAAGCAAAAGCCATCCACACAAGCAAAGCAAACCAACCCAAGAAATTCTTTCATTTCTTCCTAGGTAGGCAGGTGTTCATCCATCCCTAAGACAGGGCCCCATCATACATAATGATGACTTGGGAAGACAAAAGCCAGAGCTTCAAACATCACCTCCTTCCTCCTTCTTCCCTCTACTTTATATATTGAGTCTGATGTCATGTGGTCTGAATACTTCTTGAGTAACTTGGAGTCAGCTGAGTCTCCTCTCAACTTCCCATTCACTCCCAGCCTCCTTGCCAACTTGCCAGTGCAAAAAGGCCTTGGCTCCGTACAAATCCTGCTCAGCAATAACAAAAACATCTCTATATTATAAACTGTTTACAGCATAAATCCAAAACACAAACCTATACCAGATACTGTTAAGAGAAAATTACTCAATCTAAACCCAGCAGGGTATCTTACTAGAGAGATTGTTTGATTTAATGAGCAGGTTATTTTCCTCATTTGTGCATTGAACTTCATAAATTACACTCTTACAATACCACTCTTAATGCAACTCTGTCTATAGGCTTCGCCTTCAGGACTAATTTGGTGCTGACTGACAGGAAAAAGATGTCTCCTTGTTTATGTGACAGCTTATTAAAGTCAAGAGGTTCATAACCTCCTTGGTCTACATTGTTTTCTTGTTTGCCTTCAGTAAATTTCATATTGCTTAGACATATCAATTCTAACTCCACTGAAGAAGAGGCAAAGAAAAGCATGGAACAATTTCTTCAGGAGCTGCCCAACTTTGCAAACACGCCTTATAAGATAGTGCTCAAAGAACAGGAGGCCTATATGGCAAAAAGGTGGGCTGGTGTTCAGCTGTAGGAGAAAGTGAGCCCTGCGCGGCTCCACAGACTTTCTTCAGGAATGTGGGAACTGAAGAGAAAGTAGGAGGAAGAGGAACATGAAACTGAAAACTCTGATGAGCTCCATCTTTGACCCAAAAGCAGCCTAGGACTGAGTCATGAGTACTTTTTCTCTTCCACACCATACTTTACAAGGAATGAAATGTCTTTCAATCACAAAGGAATTACATAAAAATGAATATATAGATTGGAAAGACCAGCATTTACGGATGCAATGTTGGAGAAGAGAAAAGGGAAAGAAAAAAAAAAAAAAAAAGAAAGATTCCTGGACTCTGTGCCTTAAGAGTGATGCCTGATTCCTTTCTGGGTGCCACACCAAATTTCATCTTGCAGTCTTAGAGCACAAGAACTTTCCTTTGATCATACACAGGTTGCTTCTACCCCATTTTAAGAGTTTATCTATCATCTTCTTCCCTCAAGAGGGGAAGAAGCACTTGCAGACAATGAGGAAGACATAATGTTAAGAATTGGCATTATAGATTTAGATTACTTGATATCTGCTATAGTGGTAACTGGGGCTCCATATGCAATTGGCTTCCAGGACTGGAAGCTGCACAGATTTAATTCTGTTTGACTAATTTCATTGTTTTCTTTAAATAAATAGTCGTTCCCAAAAACAGAGTCACTTAACCCCAGAGTGTTCAGGGAACTTTTTAGGGTGATGGAAAAAAAAACCCAAAACCCCCCCAGCAATAAACCCAAAACATAACACAATAAAAAGCAAACAAATAAAACACCCCAACCCACCAACTTAACATACAAAGGAAAAGCAAGATTATGATATCACAGAAACTATTGTGAGATACTCAAGGGTATTGTACTCATAATTATTTAAATTTTTTCTTCTTAATTTCAACATGCTTTATTTTTGACTGTATGGTATTCCTTTAATTTGAAATATTTCATTATGTTCTCCTCAACTCATCTATGTCTCTCCTTTCTGTTTCCAAAGATATGAAATCATGAATTTTAAACAAATGGGGAAGGACTACTTTGATTATATCAATGTTGGCAGCTGGGACAATGGTGAGCTGAAAATGGACGATGACGAAATATGGGCAGAGAAAAGTAATATCATCAGATCTGTGTGCAGTGAACCCTGTGAAAAAGGCCAGATAAAGGTAAATATTTTCTTCATTTGCTTCAGTCTTGCAGTATGCACAGCCTTGAAATTTGAAAACAAGTTTTTTCTTGACTTCTACATGGAGATAGTATCCCACACTTAAATTAAAATGTACAGATGTATGTATTTAATTCTTACTCTTATCATAATCATCTTGCTATTTTAATAAGCTGCCATTTTCGTGACTCCTCTATCTGTGGACTGTTGCCCATGATGCTTCCTGCAGAACAGTTAAAATACTGCAAGTCCGTAGCTTACCTTGCAGTCATTTATATAAAAGCCAGTGGAATGAGGAGATGGGCATGTTCAGCTGTAAAAAAAAATCAGGTGTGATTTCTGACAAGTCTCACTGGAGGCTCAATTTTCTCATGTGTTAAAACAGCATGACTGAAAATTGGGAAGCAGCTGCAGAGAAGGGCTGGTGGGAGCATGACCAGTCTCTGCAATACGAAATTAATCTCTTTAGCCTGAGTTTTACAGAATTTTAGGACATGGTCACCCTGTTTTAGTCACTAATTAGTCTTTGGCAGAGTCATTTAAGTGAGTTTCATCAGACTGACTGTATTTGTCTCCAGTGTAAACATAAGGAATTATGTCAGACTTATGAATAATATGCTATTCCAGATGAGGAGTCATAAAAACAGTTAAGATCAGGCTTGGTGTAGAACGACTTCTTTCTCTTCATTGACAGTAAAAGACACCCAGACAGGACAGTTGGTTCTGACGAGAACACACCTTCTGCAGACACATTAATGCAGGTGTGAGTTACTCCCACAGACACTGAACTCGGGTCTGTTAGCCTGCTCCAGGCATAGTCACACACAGGGAGGACAGAGATGGACAAACAGCTAACATCTTCAGAACTGTGTGGCTCTGAGCTCCTTTGTGATATGTTGTCACAACACAGCTGAAGGGAAGTATCTTGTGATCTCCATTAACACAGTCACCCTCCACCTTCTGCCCATGCTCCCAGGGATTCTCTCAAGACGATCCTTCACTACAAAGCCATGTCATCACACACTTAGATATATGCATGAAGCCTGGTGTTGGAAATGTTCTGTTTGCTCCTCATTTCGTTATTGATCATAAATCTCAGAGTTTACCTGACAGTCTTTATCTTCATGGTCTTCACACATGATGGTGGGACCTTGACCCTACCAAGCTCTGTGGTGGTTTTCCTGCAAACTTCTCTGTGACTGAGTTATTATGCAGGGATTTAAAACATTGAATGTAATGCTATCCAACATTCAGCTAGAGTTGGGGAATCCAACCACAGGATCTGATAAAACCCAAATGCAACCCAACTCTATATATTTGAAAGAGTGTGGACAAATGATTATTTAAATAAATACAGGTTCAAAGGATTGTACAGATGACAAGGGGAAAGGAAAATAATATTTGTTTTAAAGATTATTATTTCTCTTAAAAGGGACAGAAAAAATAACTTAGAGTTAAATGATACAACAAAGAATTATTCAGGAAATGAAAAATAAAAGGATTAATAAATTGCTGGCTAAGAAATTTAACACAAAAAAGTTTGACTTTACTCTGAGTCTTGAGGAACAATTATCTTGATTTCTAGAGGAGGATACATAATCCTTCTCTGGTAGTTCTAGGTAAGAAATTATCAGTGTCCCAGTGTCCTGATTGATTCGTCAAATTCCAAGTATTTTACAGAGGATCTTCATTGACCAGAAAGTTACACAGAAAAGGGTAAATTAATTGTTCATATTGAATTTCAGGTGTTTAATAATAACATAAGGTTTTTATTTTTCCATTTAATTTTCTTGACTATTTTATAAAAATAAAATGATGGATTTTATAATGTGTCAAGGTAATCAAAATATGTACCTTAAAATTAGTACAAGCTTTCTAAAAATTGATTTTCCCAAATACAAAAAAAAAATCATTTTTTCAACTTTTCATTCTATTTAAAAATGAAAGAAATCCCCAAATTTGATTTATTCTGGAGGACAGATATTCTGTTTTGCAAGTAGTTCTAGTCTCAATTTTTCAAGAATAAATCACTTAAGGTCTTCTAGCCTTTCAATCAATTTAACTGTTTTGGAGTTTTGCTGTTTTTCTTCTCACATTCTACAATTAAAACAAAGCAAAACAAAACCAACCAAACCACAAAAACTTGAAGTTTTTCAAGTCTCCATATTGGTGATGAAAATTAGTCAATAGAATATGTTTTTCACTGCAGCATTACAAAGTGCAATCCTATTATTTTTTATTATGCTCCTTTACATGTTTGGTTTTTTAATTGAAATTGCAATAAAGTTATTTGCCTTTAAATACACTTTCTGAATTCATCATTGCAAAAGATAAAAAAAAGTCAACCTATTTCTTATGCTATAATTGGGAGTATTTGTTTGTAAACTGTTTGGGAAGAGGAGAGAAACTGGGAATACTTTATTTCAAAAGAAAAACTTATTGTCAAGAAGCACAGATGTTCCCAGAGATGATAAATAAGGGTCTTTAAAAATCTGCATTTCAATCCTAAGCACGCAATAACATTTGGTAGTAAATTAGGAAATGAGTAATCAGGTCAGATGTTAGAATGGAGAAAGATAAGATTCTCACCTTTAAATGGTAACTAGAAATGCAGTAATTAAATAATTCTGGAAAAGGCATGTTCAGTTTGCTCTCTGGAAAAATAAGTTTTTAATAAATCACTCACTATTGGATGAAAAATAAGCACCCAACAGTCTTTGGGTAACCAACATGTAGGGACACAGTACTGTTGACATGTTTCTCTGTATGGACTACCTTGGAGTGAATTATGTGTCTTCACTATCATGGACTGACTTCTGTAAGCACATTGACATGTATGGAGCTTTGCAAATTCTAAGAGGAAAAAAACCTCATCTTTTTTGTCATCCTGTACCTCCACTTATACTTCTCTGGCATTGGTGGATTCTTTCTTTTGGTACCTACACGATGGGAGAACTAAGAACTTTTGTCACATTTTTTTCTTTGAAAACATATAATGAAAAGCAATAATTAAATTTCAAAAACTCTTCTATTAGAAAAAAAATACATTAAAAAATTAAATTAGCAACTGGGTGAGCACATATGTGTGTTTAGGCTGCTAAAATAAATGTCAATTTTTGTCTCAGGTGATCCGTAAAGGAGAAGTGAGTTGCTGTTGGACCTGCACTCCTTGTAAAGAAAATGAATATGTCTCTGATGAATACACATGCAAAGCCTGCCAGCTTGGCTCCTGGCCCAACGAGGACCTCACAGGTAAATGAGTTGAGTTGTGCTTGTGTTGTCAATGAAACTGCTCATCTAATGAGCTGAAGAAACAACTGGCAGATACAGGTGAGTATGAGGATGATTTTGGTCAGAGGGAACATGGGGATGAAGCTAGAATTTGAACTGAAGCTGATATTTATCTCCTGAACCTGATCTAGGAATTATTCACATAGTTCAACTCCTTTCTAAAGACCTGAACTACTAGATCTTGAAATAAAAAATAAGTCCTGGTTTTGTATTCAGTCCGGTCCTAACCTCTAGCTGACAATACAGATCTTACCCTTCCTATACAGAAAATAAATGCTTATCAAAGAAATTATTAAGAAATATTGAATTTAGGAGTTTTATTATCCCCCCAAGCAAAGGAATAGTACACTACCTTCTTTTTTAATCTGACAAAGTTCTCATTTAGTTGCTGCAGTTACTGCTGCTAAAAGCTCGAGTTCTCCAAACAGACTTTGGTTTGCATTAGTCCTTTGCTCATAAGAGTCTTCTGGAACACAGTGTTCATCCTTGGCATAGACCTCTGTGCTCTTGCAGAATACCAGTTAGGCTTCTCTGGAGATAAATTACTCCAACATTGTGTTCCACAGCCCCTCTTCTTTATGACTAAGAAACAGAATTCAAGTATTCAAATGCTCGGAGCACAAACCACTTCAAAACACTGTTCAGGGATCATGTTCTCACTGTGCCAGGCTTTATATAGACAAGGGGAGAAAAGACAGGTTGTTTTTTTTCTAGAAGACTTCACAGACCTGATTTGCATATAGTTTCTACAGATGAGGGGAAGCACTTTGAGGTGCGAGGAAAGACAAAGGAAAATGCAGTTTGATGCATGAATTTATGTAAGTGGGAAAGTGTAATGCAAGGCTTGGCCTCTAGGCACATTTTTATTTAGAAAGTTAAGCCTTTCCTGTTTAAAGACCGTTGCATTGCTATGATAAATGAGCTTGGCTACCAAATTATCGCAAGAATATTATTTAACCATTGAACTGATGTGGTACTTTTCAGAAAATGTCAAACATGACCCTTTCCCTAAGAAAAAAAATCTTTCAACGGAGAAACTGGACTAGCAGTAAAATGGACTTTCCAGTTCTGCTGCATCTATGCTCCCGTAGCCCTGCTCCCCCAGTTCTGCCTCCCTGGGCAACCAGCAACCAGCCAGCAAAGTCTTCTTCTCCCAGGGAAAGATTTCTTGCGTCAGGAGAACGGTGAAGGGGAGAAAAGGAGAATAGGCTGCGTGTGTCCCCAAAAACAGAGTATTGAGGGTGCAGTTACAATGTGGGGTACACTTCTCAGAAGCTTCCAAAGGCCACGTTGCAGGCCCCAGATATTACTGCACCAGGCTGGTCAGCTCATGAAGGCCAACTAGTGTAACTGGTCAGCTCTTCAGCCTCCAGAGATTTTGTCTGAGATATTGTATATCCCAGCCCAGGCCCTTGTTCAGATGAGCACCAGAGGTTTTACCCTGAATAGATCAGCTAAAAAAGGAACTGCTGCAAGTCAATTAGGAGGGCATTTGTTCCAAGTGCCAACAGAGAAGCCAGAGAACCAGTGGTGGGAAGGAACTGTCCACTGACTTGGTGAAGTTTGTGTAATTAGACACTAAGCACCACATGTAAGGCAAAGTGGAGTCACCAGGCCCCAGGTTGACCCTCAGGCTCTGTGCTTTGAGCTGGATCCCCAGGACATACAAATTTCTATGGTTCAAGCATGGTTCACCATGTCACTGAACATTGTTCCATGTTCAATGACATGGTGTTATGGTCTCCTGGGAGGGTTCACCCTCTGAAAGTCTCACTTTGCCCTCACAATGGAAAAGTAAGATGGATTGGCCCCTCAAAAGCTTTCATAGGTTGAGTTTTCCACCTATCAGTGATTGTTTTTAAGGAAATCAGTTGTATTTTTATCCAAGCCAATAGATTTTTGCAGTACATGAGCAAACATTTTGTGTTTGTTTGTAAAATTACATTTTGCAAACCATTTGTCTGGTTTCAGACATGCATTTCATGCCTTTATGGGGACCAAAATCAATCTGTACACAAAGGAACCCTTGACATCAGTGCCAAGCAATATTCCATAGGAGATCTAACACTTGTTCCTCAGCCAGGTACAAATTTGGCAGGCCCTATTTGGAAACCAAGCCCTCTTTGGCCTCCCTGAGCACAGCTAGTGGAATGTGCCCTCCTAGTAATAGGACACCCATCTCACAACTCCAGAGCTGCCTAGTCCTCACCCAGCTCATTATCAGCATGATGGTTGTATCTTGTCTTATTTAACTTTGTATCACAAAGGGATTTTAAGAAATCTATTGCCAGCCCGTCCATACAAAACAATGAGCTCTATTTTTAATTATCGGATTCCTAGCGCCAACTTTTGCGCTTATAAAAAAACTACCTCTCAATCTTGTTTAAAACATAGGATTTAGTAATAAATGTGCATTAAAAGTAAGGAGAAGTTGGTGTATTTTTTATTCTGGCAAGGAAATTTCCTTTCTGTTTATTAAAGTATACAGCAATCTCCTTGAAATGTCCCTACATCTGATACTGCAGCATACTGAGTTGCTTTGCTGCTTGATAAAGCCATTTCCTAGGGAATGTCAGCTCCACAAGGCTACACATACAAAACCTCATTAGAATAAGTCTTCCCTGCATGATCACCTTCAGATGAGAGTCCTGTAAATTTATCAGCCACACACCTGAAATGGCTTTCAACATGGAGCTGCACCTCACTGTTTGCCAGAGATCTGACCTTGGATAAAAACTTATTTGGAATCCTTTCTTGGCTCACATAACAAAACACTGCTTACATCTTTCTTATGCTCAATGATCAGCATCAGTTTTGTACAACAAAGTTTACTAAATAAAACACGTAATGGCAGGGGTGTTACTGACAGAAAGGAAGACAGATTATTGCACTTTTTCAGCCACCTATGGAATATCAGAATTCAGATACAGCAGGGAAAAGACATATTGCAACAGGTTGCAATATCTGTAGGAAAACAAAGTTATTCTCAGAACAGAAGAAGACATAGAAGTGCTGAAGTACAGAAAGGCACAGAGAATCCAAAAGTAGTGGAAAAGGTAAGTGGGAACAAGAGTTTCTCCTGATTAAACCAGATACTGGAAAATGTCTCCACCTAGAAGTGAAGGTGAGGCAAGAAAGAGAACGTTAACTGCCCATATTTTATTATGTCACAAATTTCAGATTGCTTTTGCATGCAAAATTCCCCAGGGATCAGGCTCCTCCTTGGACAGAAACCTAGTAAGTTGCTTCCTTAAGATTTATATGTACTATCCCAACATGTACCAGATGTAATCTTCTTCCTCCTGGCCTGTTATCAAGTTATGCTTCCCAGTCTGCTGTAGCCCCTCTAAGTCCCCATGTGTTGTGTTGGCAGCATCCATCCAATACAGCACCAATTTACACACTAATGTGGCCAGCATGGCTGAGCCACAGACTCAGCTACAGCAGGAGGAACTCAGTGGTTTAAGTCCAGAAGTATATGCCAGTCACTTCTCTCTTCCTCAGAACTCTTCTTTGCATTCTATTCACAGCAGGTGGAAGAGAAATACGTGCCACACAAATTTAGATACAGGTGGAGGAATTTTCTTAGTGCTGATGACCAACACTAATGCTGATTTTTCAGAAGCTTTAGGAGAATCTGAGGATGTGACCTTCTGCATTCAAAAATGGTGCTCTAAAAAGACCAAATAAATTTTGTTCAGTATCTCAGAGCTTTTCCAGTGTATGTAGGAGCATCTTGGTTCAGTTACCAGTAACATTTAAGGACCTTTTGAGGTGAGAAAGAAGCAATTATTCTGTCTTTCTGGCATTCAAGAACAGCATACAACAATACAAAAACCAAAGTTTTGTCTAGTGACTTCAGGAAGGGCAAGAAAATTAGATTATATTAATTTCAGTGACAATTGGATTATTTTCAGGTTGTGTTGACATTTTTCTCAGTCTCTGTGTATTCCAAATATGCTGACTATTTGATTTTCTTAATTGGATTCCCATGAAAATAGGAGCTTAACTATTTACACCTCTTGAAATGTTTTCTTTGCCATTCAAGGGTGAGAGTATATATCAGAAATATTTATTTTTTTTCTATCGCCACAAAAATGCTTTCACCAAATAAAGTACAGTAAAGCCAGGATAACAGGGTGATTTTACTGCCCATCTGGAAGTGACAGATAAGAGACAGTTTATCCAAAAAACCCTTGGATGAAAAAGACTGAAAAATGTGTGTGGTAGGGTCTGAGCCTCAGTTGTCTCATAAGACTGGATTCTGCCCCTCACTCAAGCAGAAGGTGATTCATCTCTTGCCTGAAATATTTTCAAAAGGTAACTGCTTGCTCCCATCAGGCTGCTTTCTTGTATTCCCTCTTACAAAAGTGTTGCAGCCATGGGTGATTTCAGCAATTGTCTGACGCAGGTCAGAACACAATCTAGTCTGTGCTGACATTGATTTTTCTGCTGAAATATTACTAGGACCTTGCTTTTTGATCATAATTGTTAAGGCTATAATTGAGGCTGAGGGTAGGAGAACACAATTTTCATGTGGTTATTTCTAGAGTTCTAAATGCACATCAGCAGAGATGTCCTGTTTTCTGTGCCCCTTATTTCTCTTTCCTTTTTATTTCTTACTCCAAAGGAAATGTAACCATTGCCATAAGTCACTTTCACTCTATTCCTCTTGGAAAGGGTGTATGTGGATGAGTTAAGGGTTCAGCTGGCAATATTATGACCAGGGTCTCATTTTCTGCTCCCTCGGTTCTGGGTTTGCACACTTTTCTTTCCCCAATTGCTTGTTCCAGATAGAGTGTGAACTTCAGCTTCCAGTCCAGCATGAGCCACACAGCACTTCTGGCTCAAGTGAGCTCATTCAATATTGTGAGCTCAACAAGCAGCACTTGGAGTCTCCCTGGCTGGATGAAGAGGAACTCGCCAACAAAGCCAGAAGGATCCACTTGTAATTGTGCCTT